AGGTCCTAGTGCAGTACATCTCCAAGGCCAAAATACCAGAGTTCAGGGGAGAAGTCACTGCAGCTAAGCCCTTCCTCAAAAATCTGGAACTGGAAGGATGGATAAGGGCCATTGAAAACCTAGTGAAACCCCCTACTGCACAGTCTTATACAGGCAGCCAGAACCAACCGTAAAGACCGTGCAGAGCATATTATCAACTCTGCACTTTTCGATAACATAAGCTGGCAAGTGTTCAAGGCCCAGATCTGCAAGACCTTCCATGGTACCTACACCGCTGCCGACTTCTTTAAGGTGCTTTACGAACACCGCATGGCGAATGACCAGGCACCAATGGACTTCTTTCTGGAGATTCAGGGCAACGTGTGTCAGGATTATCGGGACTACCCTGCTGCCATTGGTGACCCAGATGAATTAGTCCATAGAGTATTTGTTAGTGGGCTGTCCCCCTGGCTTCGTGACATCTTAGCCGTCAGGGATGATGGTTCGCCAGCAATAAATGACCGATGCTTCTCAGCGTGTCTGGAACGCAAGGCATAGAGTACGGCACCATAAGCTTGACACGCTCGGGGTAGGGACCATTATGCCTTTGCTATCAAGGCTAATGCAGTGCAGCCATAGACACTCCCCCTGCACAGTCAGAAGTGTTGTACCTACCACCAGGTTACTAGCCACAATGCTGGCTAATGCCGAGCTAGAGCCACCAACCAACCTCAGCATGTTATAATTGCAGAAGGACAGGCCACTATATAAGTGCTTGTCCCTTTCCTGAAGGCCAGGGTACCCAGGCTCCCAACACCACTGGCACAGCACTCCAGGGGAGTTGATCAGGAAACAGGAGCAGAACTGATTACAGTAGCAACTAAACGGCCAGTTGTGGCACTAAGCATCGATGAAATTAATTTGGCAACAGCAGCCTCAGGGCCTTCAACAGCGTCTGTTGCAGATGCAGCCACAGGACCCCCTGCAGCGTCTGCCCCAACCGCAACCTCAGGGCCTCCTGGAGGGTCTGCATTAACCCCAGAGTCAGCTGCAATGTCTGCTTTCTGGAGGGCACATATACCGTTAGCTGTTGAGGGGCTAGAGGAGACTTATGGAGATGGCGAGGAAGAGAGACAGTTTGAGTGGGAGGAGGATCTAACTGAATTCAACCAGTTTTATGCGTTAGAATTAATCAGTGATTAACTCACGGGAAGTTTAGAGAACAGCCGTAAGCAACTAGTAGAGGATAACGCTTGGGTAGCAGCTCTGAACAGTTGTGTACATGACCCTGAACTTTCTATGTAGATTAGTGTCTGTGTAATTTGTTGAACCCCAGAAGAATTTGTGATTTCAGTGTCTTTGTGATTACATGTCTTTTGTGATGTGTCTGTGACATCAGTAAATTGCTTGTGTATAAAGTAGTAGCACCTGTTACTTATTTACATGTATATTTTTTTCTTGCTCTTATTTTTACTGTTTTATTCTTTGCTCTTCTTTTACTTTTATTCTGCTCTTGCTTTTACTGTTTTATTCTTTTGCTCTTACTTTTACTGTTTTTTTCTTGCTTTTGTTTTTACTGTTTTATTCTCGCTTTTGCTTTCAATGTATTATTCTCGCTCTTGCTTTTACAGTTTTATTCTCGCTCTTGCTTTTACTGTTTTATTCTCTTGCTCTTACTGTTTTATTCTCGCTTTTGCTTTTACTGTTTTATTCCCGCTCTTGCTTCTACTGTTTTATTACTGCTCTTGCTTCTACTGTTTTACTCCTGTTCTTACTCTTTTACTATTTTAGTCTGGCTCTTACCCTTTCTTTTACTCTCACTCTTGTTCTCTTAGTGTTTTACTCTTGTTCTTACTATTTTATTGTTTTACTTTTGCTTTTATTGTTTCACTTTTACTCTGCCTATCGCTTTTACTTTGCGTCTATTAGTGTGTGTGTGGGGGGGGGGCATGACACGTACTGGCACAGAATCATCATCCCGTTTTTATCTCAGAATATTTGTTGTATTTCTCAAAGACCAGATGGTGAGTTGGCTCCAGCAGGGCGCTGATATTCTGGTGGTAATGTAATCGTGCGCTGTTTCTCAGTCCAGTCCCGTCTGCACCGTCAGAGTTCAAGTTTGGCTTTTCTCTCTTTTCAGGTCTCCGCTGGCTGCTTCGACCCGGATCGGGGACGGATTCTGTAGCGTGATACTGTTCTCAACGCCCCCATACCCTCCCCCCCCTCAAATGATGCTCCCTTAGTGAGCGCGCGTGTGGTTGTGTGCGTGTGGTGTGGTTACGTGTGTAACCACACCACACCTTGGTTAAATTGCACTTGCCGACTGTCAGCTCGGTGTTTCTTTGTATACATGATTTTATCCATTTCTTTTTTAAATCCATTTTAATGTATTATATTTCTTGTGTGTTTTAATGTTTAGATTTATTGTTTTATTTTCGTTTTATTGAAAGTTGAATCTTTTTCACGTCACGGCCTCCCGCGGCCCCTTTTGTACCACGAGAAATAAACATTCGTTTTTCTACTGTACACGAGGCGTTTCTCTCCTCATCCTCTGGCATTTTGTACATATTACATGAAAATTTATACCTAAGTGGCCGGCAGCTCCAGCTAAGGACCCTAAAAGAACGGAAAAGCTAAATATTAAGCCTCAGTGACGGTATTTACTAAAGATAGAGCTGGACCGTGCAGGATTGCACTTATACATATACCACATATCATTATGCAACCTCGTGGTTCTTCTATTAGACCTTATTTCTTTCTTGTCTTCTACTAGCGTTTCTCCTTTCATTTTACTCTCCTTCTACTTATTGTACTTTTCTTATGCTAGCCTATCCACTTTTTCTTCCTGAATCTTTACACCGTTTTTAGTTATTTTTATTTGTTTTAATTATTCATCCGCACACCTAGAACATGCACAGATTTCCCGCCGTGACTCTCACAAGGCCATATCCCTTGGGACTGTAGCAATAACTAGTAAGGGGGATGTTGACATCAGGGGGTGGACATACCCTGCGGAGGGACCTTGGCCCTTAAGGTACTCCCCTGGGTAGGTGGCCCTGAGACTACAGGTCCATATACTACACCTACGACATGACATGGTGATACGGCCAACTCAAAAAACTTTAAGCTTTCGGATTACGTGGAAAATTGCCTTGTTTCATTCAAAATTTCATTTCTGACAGAACTTTAGCTGTCACTTTCTCGGACATTTTTGTCCAGGCAAACGGGGTCCCAAAAGGAAGTGTCTTGTCACCTACTTTATTTCTGTACATGATAAATGACATCTCACCAGCTCCCCCTCGGAATCCTAAATACTCACTGTACGCTGATGATTGTGCATTATGGCATTCCAGCAGTAATGCAGAATTTTTTAGCAAATCGCATCCAATTGGCACTGGATATGATTCATAACTGGGGCCTCCAGTGGGGTTTTAAGTTTTCCACAAGAAAGAGGATTGGGGTAATTTTTTTCACGTAGGAGGATGTCGAACAACCACCCAATACCTATTCAAATTTCTGCTAGATTTCTTGGTCTACTTTTTCATCGTAGACTTAATTGGAAAGACCACATTGATCAGTTAAAGAATAAATGTCAAAAGCACTTAATTTACTAAAGTGCATTTCTGGAAATAAATGGGGAGCTGATAGAAAATTCTTTGCTAATAATATTTAAAGCCCTGATTAGGTATAAAGTAGATTATGGTTCTATCGTGTATGGTTCGGCATCAGACTCAACTTTGAAAGGATTGAATACTGTGCAGAATGCATGTGTGCGTAGATGTCTTGGTGCCCTGAAGTGTATAGGATTGAGCGTCTTGAGGTGGAATCAGGAGTACCTCCCCTCCGACTCAGACGCAGCCAGCTGGCGCTGACCTATGCCGTGAAGGTGGCTCGAGACCCAAGCCACCCTAATGGTAATGGTGCCATTAGGCCCTTTACCACAAGATTCCACGTCCTCATCCAAAAAGTCGGTATAGATCTCTCTACCATCGATACCCTGCTTCAGACTAATATAGCGCCATGGGAAACGCCCAATTTTGCTATCATGGAAGCTTGACTTCCATCAAGGAAGGCCACGGCGCCGGAGGTGGAGGTATGCCAGAGGTTCAGAGAGATCCTTATTAAACATCTACCTTTTTTCATACATATACCGACGGCTCCAAGACTGAGCAATGTGTGGGTGCGGGTGTGTG